ATGTTTTTTCTCCGTGCAATTATTTTGCAATAATTTATTTCTTTATTTATTTTAGTTATGTATATTTTTTAAAGGGCTGAGCCCCTTACATAATTTCATTTATAATTACACAAAATTTAACAGAATGAACGTTTAATAAAAAGAATGATTTTACAATACAACAAATAATAGATAGATTTAATATGTTTCAAATAACAAAGTCTGCCTTCACTTTTACACTCATATCTAAGGGTATAAAATTTAATATAATCATTTTTGTCTAACTTTATTTTTTATATTTTTTGTGGACAACTTTCTTAAGGTTCTTATAATTCCTTCAGTAAGTATGTACTTATTTTCAGATAATACATTGTCATCTGCCTACTTACTTACTTACGATTACGATCTCGATCTTTTTATTGGTCAATTACGACTCTTTCTTCTTTTGTTTCAGGGCTTTAGCTTTAAATTGTAACGCGGAATTTAACGATATAAAGGGAGCATCTGCGAAAGATTGGCGAAATGGTAAACCGGTAAGGGTGGTGCGTAATTTTAAGCTTGGTAAATACTCCAAGTATGCTCCACGCGAGGGCAATCGTTACGACGGTATCTATAAAGTTGTCAAATACTACCCTGAAAAGGGAAAGTCTGGATTTGTCGTTTGGAAATATTTATTACGGAGGGACGATCCGTTCCCCGCTCCTTGGAGCAAGAATGGTAAAGAACTGGACATGTTGGTAAGCTTGGTTGAAATCAATTAATTAAAAAAAATGAAATTATTATTTCCTTTTAGTATCCACCGGGTTATACTGAGCTAGAAGAATGGAAGAAAAAAGAGTCTGATGAAATCAAAAATGCAAAAAAGATAGAGACAAAAGGAGCGAAAAGACCGGGTAAGAAAATTCCTGAGTTAACAACAATGTTTAAAAAGTATAAACAGGAACCTTATATTCTGGAGCCTGAATTAATAAAGTTGATCAATCAAGATGACCAGAATTTAAAATTATGGAGTGAATGCAGGCAATTTTTGTCTGAGGGGAAGCAGAAGTTTTTGTCTAAAGTGGAAGAACTCTTTCTTTGCATCTGTTGTCAGGACATTGTTTATTTACCTATTACAACAAAATGCAAACACAACATGTGCCAGGTAACTTATGTTTTTCCATTTTACTTTATTTTAAATACTTAAAAAATGGGATAACTCTTAAACAAAGAATGAAACGAGAGGAATGATTATTAATTATTTATTTATTTATTTGATTATTGCGTGAATTTGCGTTATTACTTTTATAATAAAATATATAAAACATTAATCATTATAATTTCTTAAATTTAGGATTGTTTGAAGAGGTCCTTTTCTGCAGAAATATATACTTGTCCATGCTGTCGTTCTGACTTAGGAAGAAAATACAAAATAACAGTAAACGAGCCATTAACATCAGCATTAAAATTACTTTTTCCCGGCTACACACAAAACCGATGATAAGTTAAATAAACAAAACAAAACCATTCCTTCTAATTGAAATGTTTAGTGATTAGTGTTTTAAATTTGTCACTTTTTGTGTTGAAATTGTATCATTTAATTTTTTTTTGTAATACATAGTAGTAGGACGTTCTTTTTATAATAAAGAAACTAAAATTAATATATAATTGCACGCTCTTATTAATCAAACTTATCTAACAGTGCAGTAATTTTGGATCGTTTCTGGTTATACTATTAGAATCGTATTAATAATAGTAGTAGATTGAACCAAGGAACGCGTCTTCAATTTGGGGAATTGATTGGCTAAATAGTCGATCATTATTGAAGTCTATTATCTATGGATCGTTACTTGTTCTTGTTAGCGTTAACCTTAGATATCCTTTAGACATAGAGAAGCGACCCAGCGTTTCATAGACATATATTAATGGACGTGCCTTAGCCTCATGTCGTTGCAATAATTTCTTCGCTCGAAAAGTGAGGGAGATGGGGTATTGTTTCGGACCAGTACTATCTCTTTCATGACCCGCTTACGCATTATCGTGAGAGAGATGGACATTGTCCGAAACTTCGTTCCATCTCTTTCTTTTGTTGTACCACAATTCTGACCGCTAAGGCATATCCATTAGTGAACGTCGATGTAGCATTTCATGATCAGGTCAAATTGTGAAGTAAATGTAAATTTGCATCAGAAAAGAGAGACATCGGCCGCACTATCAATTTATCTCTTTCTAAATAATTTCAATAGGCTATAGATAAAGAGTCCAATCTCTATATGTAAAACTTAACGCTCTGCTTTTCTGAACGATTATCACTTGTTATTACATTGATCATTGATGCATATGTTGATTGAACACCTTATCTATAGATGACCTGCAGTCTTCACCTATGGTATACCACTGTATATTTCTTACCCATTATATGTCTATAGTAAACGTCGATGTTCTTACTTATGTTAACATTGACATCACCCTTTGTATATCTATTATCTATTATTAACATTAACCTTAAAAATTTCGTAATTTTTTATTATTTTAAGTGTCTGTAACTATAATTGCTGAACATAATTAAGAAAAGAAAATGAAAGATAAAGTGAAGACAAGTAGTAAAGAAGAGAATAATTTGACAGAAGAGTCTGGAGACGATGGAGTAATCGCAATTCTTATTTAAGTTTTTTCATTTAATTTCATTTTCCTGTACTTATTTAGGAAGATACTTCAAGTGTGGGGAGCACGTCTACCACCGACAACACATCTAGAAGTGCTACTCCAACAAATCGTTCGCGTAAAGGCAAAAAAAAAAAAAAGAAACTAAGTCAACTGAAATATTTAAAACCAATATACAAATTTACGTAGGTAGCCAAAAACACCTTGTTGATAGTTAAGAAAATTAAAAAAGACACCCTAATTACAACTAAAACTTCCCTTCGGAGAAGTGTTTTAGTGGACGAAACACGTGTCCACAGTAAAAAGTTTTAGTGGTAATTAGGGCGAGTGTCTTTTAGTTTATTTATTATTCATTTGCTTTATTGATAGTTGCAGCATTAAAGAAGACCATGGTCAGCCGTTATTTGGAACGCAGTTTAATCACCACTTAAAAGAAGGTCAACCGTTCATTTTTGCAGCTGTTGGGAGTAATCGCGTTACCATATATGAATGCCCTGAAGGACGTGGAATTAAATTATTGCAATGCTATGCAGATCCGGATGTATCCTTTTGTGCATTGCTGTTTGTTCTCTACATTACATTCAATTTTTACTTAACATTATTCTAATTAGCTTGATGAAAATTATTATACTTGTGCTTGGTCTTATGATGATACTGGCAAGCCTTTACTTGCTGTGGCTGGATCTAGGGGTAAATTATTTACAGAGGCAAGTATAAATTATCATTTGCTCTAAATTTTCAGGAATCATAAGAATTCTCAATCCAACCACAATGAGTTGTTTGAGACATTATATTGGACATGGGCATGCAATAAATGAACTGAAATTTCACCCAAAAGACCCTAACTTACTATTATCGGTATCTAAAGATCATGCTTTGAGACTGTGGAACGTTAAGACCGATGTATGCATTGCAATTTTTGGTGGTGTAGAAGGTCACCGAGATGAAGTGTTAAGTGCTGTTGGTCTTCCTTTATTTACTACAAGCCACATTCATTTGCACAGATCTCTTCCAGGACTTTGATTTACTAGGAAATCGAATTATGTCATGTGGTATGGATCATTCTTTGAAATTGTGGAAATTGGACAAGGAAGATATGGTGGAAGCTTTTAAACAATCCTATAATTGGCAAGCTAGTCGTAACACACGTCCCTTTGATTCATTAAAAGTCCACTTTCCTGACTTTTCAACTAGAGATATACATAGGTAAGACATCCGTTTTTAAAAAATATCCAGTAATTGTTCAGCAAATGTTTCTTAAAGAAATTACGTTGACTGTGTGCGGTGGTTCGGCGACCTTATTTTAAGCAAATCTTGCGAAAACTGTATTGTTTGTTGGAAACCGGGACGGTTGGAGGACGAAACCTTAAGACCTGGAGATACCAGTTCAACCATTATACATAGATTTGAATATAAGGAATGCGAAATTTGGTTTGTTCGATTTGCAATGGATTTTTGGCAAAAGGTTTTACCATCTTTATCTTCAAAAGAAGAATAATAAATGTATTCAATAGTTTCTGTTACAGATCCTTGCTTTAGGAAATCAGGCAGGAAAAGTTTTCGTGTGGGACTTGGACGTTCCTGATCCATCTCAAGCACGTTGCTATACTCTCCACCATCCAAGATGCACTGCTGCAATAAGACAAGCGGGTCTTTCACGGGACGGGTCTATTTTATTGTGTGTGTGTGATGATGGGACCATATGGAGATGGGACAGAATTTAACTACTAATTTCCGTAACATTTTTTTTACATATCTTGCAAGTTTTATACAATATTGAGCTTTTCATCCTTTATTACAAAGAAAAACTTATTCATTTAAAAAACTGACATTTTATTTCAAAATTTATTGATGATGATGATAGAAAAAGGTAAATAAATTAAAACAGATAAACTTCTCTAAAAAAGTTGTTTATCCCACTACATTTTTTAAATAATAACTTATTACAGATACTACACTATTTGGGGTAACCTTTGTGAATAATAATCTTCACTAGTCTTTTGAGGAAGTGTCTTCGAGTTTCGTCCTAACTATTTCTTTTCTTGGCACATAGCGACCAAAAAAGCTTGTTTTTGTCTTTTTCTCTTCTTTTGGAAAATACATTTCAAAAATTTTACAGTACATTAAGATGTGCTCTAAAATAACATACAAAATAGGAAGTAAAGTGATGTTTGGCTTTAAATACTTACTAACAGTTTCCTCAGGTAAATTATATTGGAGTGCTATTTTTGTTGATGTATAATTTTTAGGGTCCAATTGATGATTATTTATAAATTGTAAAGCATTTTTTAATGTGACTCTTCCTGGGGGAACTTCTCTAGGTTCATGAAAACCGTATTCAAAATCGCCTGCTGGGGTTCTACTAGTTGGTAATGGTCGGTTAGGATTTTGAGGCTGCTTTTGCAACTTCTTTATAAAATAACGATTTTTATTAATTAAAATAAAGCAGACAATAACGCATACTTACAGCAGGATCGTACGAATCGACGAATACATTTTTTAAGCGCTTATTCAACATTTCGTCTTTTTTCAAGTTTTCTTCTATTATCTCTGGATGGTCTAAAACGTCATATTAAAAATAGGATCGAAAAAATTAAGAATTTAGAAATTTACCTCTCTGAATGCGTTCTAATTCCAATAAATCAACTTTATATTTCGGAGCAGGAGCAGGTTTTTCTCTCGAAATAACTTTATGAGCTCTACTTTCAAAATTAAAATCCCTTATCGGTTTCATTGCCAGCGAAAGAATTTTACCCATTACAAATTTGTCAAGTGTTTTTTTTAAGTTTGTGAACGACCAAGTACTATAACAATCTGATATATTCCTATTTACAATGTCTTTAACTAGCTTTTAAAAAATGTTTAATTTTAAATCGTTCGCAGTTTAAACATTAACCTACTAATTGTGGATTATTAAACCCATAAATAAGATATTTATCATAGATAACTATTATCTATAGTAGGAATTGGAAGTGTCTCCTGTACGATCTAACCATCGACGTTTACTAATGGACATGCTTTAGCGGTCAGAATTGTGGTACAATAAAAGAAAGAGATGGAACGAAGTTTCGGACAATGTCCATCTCTCTCACGATAATGCGTAAGCGTGTCATGAAAGAGATAGTACTAGTCCGAAACCATACGCCATCTCCCTCACATTTCGAGCGAAGAAATTATGCANTTTCTTTTAATTAAACAATATTGAAAGTTTAGTTTCTCCTTTATTATAGGGGCTAAGAGTCTCAAAATCTATTAAGCGACGTGGAAGGAGCCCCACGTAAGGCCAATAAGAACGGAAGTAACCGGTGAGCATTTTACACCCCTACTTTTTAAGGTCTTCTTGTTTTTACATTTATTTTAATTAAGCAATATTGAAAGCTTAGTTTTTCCTTTATTATAGGGTCTATGACTGTCAATATCACATGAGGGACGTAGAAAGAGCCTTACGCAGGGACAATATAAACCGTTGAGCGTTTTGCACCCCTTATTTTTAAAAATTTCTTGTTTTTACTTTTATTTTAATTAAGTAAAATTGAAAGCTTAGTTTCTCCTTTACCATAGGGTCTAAGACTGTCATAATCTCATGAGGGATGTAGAAAGAGTCCTATGTGAGGACAATATGGGCAGAAATAATCGGTGAACATTTTGCACCCGTAATTTTTGAAATTATTTTGTTTTTACTTTTATTTTAATTAAGAAATATTGAAAGCTTAGTTTCTCCCTTACTATAGGGTCTAAGGCTGTCATAATCACATGAGGGACGTCGAAGGAGCCCCACGTANATACAGAATAATCTACTGTACGTTTCAGCCTCACATTTGGACGCTGCCACTTATCAGGTATAAAATTTAAAAGTGGATTTAGAACATCATACATACTAGGTAATGTAGGTAAAAAATGTCATCAGTTTGTAATATGACTTACGATTAGATAAGTAATGGCGTAATAGTCAAATCATACAAGTATCAGTTTTTTTTTTTATTAAATTGTTATCCATTCTTTCTTAAAAATGTTTCACTAAATCATCGGCCTATATATGTATATATAATCATACCATGACAATGAGTTAGTTAACTTACAAGAGGTCATCCATAAAATACGTCACTCAGAATTTCACCTTTTTGGTCCCCTCCTTGAACGAACGTCAAATTTTGTTTGACCCCTCTCCTCCCTTTTCATATCTCGCCACGCTAAGCAGTACCCCTTTCTCCCCCTTATTTGTCAACATATTTTATGAACGACCTAGTTCATTAGGTATGATTTCAGTTCACATCGTCATGTCATAATTAATGCAGCAGCTAATGTGTACGACATTATATAGTTTATCAAACGAATTACAACAAAATATAAATTAAAATCTCTTTATCAATTGTTTTCACAAACAAGTTGCAATGTTTGAATGGGACATGTATAATTTATGCTCAGATTTATTTGAAATTTGGTCTTAATGCTCTCTCATTTAATTTGTGAAACATCTATCTCTGCATTTTATAAATATTCAACCTCCAAAAGGGGGGGGGAGGTAAAAAGGAGTTGCAATTTTTGTTTGGGACTTACTTTATTTATAGTTGAATTTACTTGAAACTTTGTATGTATGCTCTTTGATATAATGAAAAGAGGTTGCAACGTTTACATGTGGTATATTTTATTTGTAGTTGAAAGTTAAGATTACATTACATAAAACTGAATTGGGAGTTAAAAGGTTTTATGGAAAAACAATATTAATTTCTGTGAGCGAAGCCGCGGGGAAAAGCTGCTAATTAATATATTTGAGTAAAGTATGTTTATATAAATAATAATTTACCTATTAATTAAATAATTTTAAAACGTATCCTAAATCAAGTATATATATATA